CATGAATTGAATTGAAGTGCATTTTCCTGTGAAATTCTGCAACATTCTATGATTTTATTTGGTAACTCAGATCATGTCTCTGGAGATGTCGGCATTGACGTTATGGAATTCTTTGGTCCTGTAAATGCATAAACTTGAGCTTAATCAGTTATATCGCACACAATGGAATGAATGGAGGCCGTTGCAAATGTCAATGCAGTACACAACTGCCGACGCTGGCTCTATGAATTACACTTTCTACACGCTTCGTAGCGGGGCAACAATATCATCATACCCTAGGTTTATTTAGGATAACTTCCAGTCGCCTTCTTTTTTCAGAAATATAAAAGACATCATTTGGTTCAACATGTTGTTGTTCCTTTAAGGAATATGCCACCTGTCAACACACTCCCGATAGTATAATTCAATCATTGAATGGCGTGCGCATACCACGAGTTACCAGTTACCTGACAACGCAACATATAATAGTGGTCCCTGTGTACACCGTCATTTACGAAAGGTATCTCAAAATATTTGCAAAGAAGTAGCAAACTAATTTATTTTTCAATATTTAGTTTCATATTGTTTTAATTGTATTATCGCCACTTTGCATGTGTGTTTGTTTTAGAAGGTGCGTCAAGATAAAATAATTTGAAAGAAAAGTGTTTTAGTTATTCTTATAAACATGTGTACATGTCGTATACATAAACACTTATAACACATGCATTGTCGTGTGTTTTACCTTGAAACATTACATGTGCGTTTGTTTAAGGAAGTGCTTCATTTGGAATTTGGAAGAAAAGTGCTTCAGTTACACTTATGAACACAAATGCGTCTTGTACATTTACAATTTGCGAAAACAATTATAGTCTGTTGTTTTGGGTTGAAACATCGTTGGTCATTTTGTTATCTGAAGTGTTTCATATTGAAATTTTTTCGAGAATAATGTTCAAATACATGTGACAATGCTACCCTTTACCAAATGTGGCTGAATAAAATCCGTTAGGCCGCGAGGTAATTAATTCACAACGTGTCTAGATTTCTAGTTGTACTTAGGTAGGTAAGACCATAAAAGCGTACATACAATTAATTCTTCAACATCCTGGTGCTTGACATAAAATGTTTTCTGAAGGTAATGTCATGACAGATTATCAGAATAATGCTTTGCTGACGAGATATATTGTGATGTTCAGAATTCTATCTTCGAATTCCGTTCACTCTTCAGTCCCACATGTACAAATATATGCAGCATTCTTTGGTCATTCACCCCCGTTTTAAATATTCACACATCTATCAGGTGCTGATATAATTTGCCCATATATAATAGTCAACCACACAGTTTATTTTGTTTAGGTAAGACCAAAGTAAACAGAAAACAAATGATGTAAGAGCTAGTAGGCGTTGCTATAGCAATTATGTTAATGTATCTTCCACCCATTACAATACAGATACATCAATACATTCAAATGAACACTGTGACAGAGAGGAGGCTGTGACAATTAAGCCAAACTTAATGCATTATCTATATCCGTTCTACTATTATGAACCAAATGAAAGAAATTCTAATATATAAAAAAATAAGAGGTTGTCACTAAGCCATGTATTTACACACTCAAGCAAGAAAAGAGATACGTTGGTGAACTAGCCTTGCACTGTGAGTGTGTTATTGTTTGCAGTCTTTAAAACACCAGTTTTTCACAAATAAAAACAAACAAACAAACAAAGAACTGCAGACCTCACATCTTTATATTTTTGAGTGTCCAAGCCATGTTTCCACATAGAAAAATACACATAACATTTCTATTTAATTTATTTTATTTTTTAATTTACCGAAATTAATGCAAACATCAAATGTATCAAATATATTTACACTGCTGTTCTATATCCACGGCAATTGTAAAGATAGTGGAGTGGAAATATAATATTTTAACTTAGAACCACACAGAAACACGTGTGACCCACATTCAGATCAGATCACGTTGAGAGTGCGAACATTTGCCAGCAAGCATACACGTGCACAGCTAGATTTTCATTAATTGTTTTCCTGTTTCCCTTGGTAATATTTGTTCCCTTAAGTTCCCCTTGTCAACACTTAAACATGTGTCTTTATTAGTTATTTTTTTGCAACTTTTGTCAATATTTGCTGATCAATTCTCAAGGCGAACAAGACTTGTATACTACATAATGCTGTTTTATTCTTCCTTCGGAAATATCGTTTTTGACAGGTATTTTATAGAACGTCCGTTGTGATAATTATGTTTGTATATATCTCACTGTCCTTGGCAGATTATTTTCAAACTTAAACAGCCAGTATTTCCCAGCCATTTTTTTTAATTTTAACTTTTATTTTCGTGGCTATTTGAGGAAATTGTATACCCCATCGTGGTAAAAAAAATTGTACTAATAAACATCCGCATGGTGAATATATATAGCCATCATAATATTGGCTAGTTCGGGATGAAATGATAACATAAGTATTTCAGTACAGTAAGTATCGCGACTTTCAATAAGTATTGTGTAAAACATAAATATATTAATGTATTCCGTGATATAGGCCGCCATGATGTCAAAAGTTCAATCTGCTTGTCTAGACCAATCAGATTGCCAGAATGTTTATTACACAATATGGAAATATGGAAAATTATTACACCGATGTATTACATAGAACAGGTAAGGTATACAAGTAGAATACATTTATTTACATTCAAGAATGTTTTTTTTTCAAATACCATATGATGTGGCTGTTTTATTTGATGAGCTGTGCGGTATTTTTTATCACATTTTCTGGCAGTCCTGGTATCTCATCTAACCCAATTGTTTTCATGTTTCGAATGTACCTCGTATATTCCACATAGAACGACCAATTGGAAGTCCTTGAGCTGATGAATAGAGGCACACCTGAAAATAAATGTTGTCACTGAAATTAGTAACAGGTATAAATATAAGAATCTTGAAATTTCCAAACGTCCTCGTTTTTTTTTTGTAATTTTGTTTCTCCAAAAATTTGTGTTTTTTTGTTTGGCAACTTTTCTAATTTGCTTTATAATTTGTGTTAACAAATCATTCTGTTGTTCTATTGAAAAATTAATTTCATGTCATTATCATTTCTTGTATATAATTAAAAAAAACGTTGTAAAAATTGAATTAGTTTTGTTAAAGCTATGTCCGTTTTAACAAAATATTGTCTGGTAATTTACTAATACATGTCCAGTATTTTATTAAATGCATCATTACGACTACTAAACGTGGTAATTCCCCTTCTTCGTCATTGTATGCAATACTTGCAACAAACTTGTTCAATCCCAGTAGTTGTTTGTAAAATTTCAATTGTGTTTTTTTTTCCTGTTATCTTTCTGTTTATTTGTTGTAATATTGAATTTCATGAGCCCGGATTTCAGACCTATACAATAATAGCGGCTGAATACACCTATTAAGGAGACGAATGAAAGTTCTATAGTTTTTGTTTCAGATATTAGGACCAGATCAATCGCGTTCCCCCATAAGATGTAAATTCCCTCGCACGCGGTTATCACGTAGTAACTGATTTACGAATTATTAACGCATTATATCATTTTTATCATTTCTCTATTTCATTGATTGCTATATTTCAATGCTTTTTATTTTTTTACTTAGACGATCGATGGAATGTGAATGAACAAACCCACTAACCTGTCAAATAACTAAAAGACAAGCCAGACGTCAAACTGGATTATGACAAATTTGGAAAACATCGACATGTACATAGAGATCGTAGAGAGCTCAATGGCAATAGTGTAAACACTGACTTCAACCAACTTTAACGACCACCATACAAGTAAGTGACTGTGATGGAAGTACGCCGTTGATCGCGGCGACCAGCAACGTCAGAAGGGATCTATTTCGTAGCTAACACAACCCTATATGATGAACTTGATGATATGTGTTTATTGTGGTGCCTTGGGACTAGTACATAATTGGCAGTTTAGTCAAAGACGAGAAAATTGAATAAAAAAATTGCTTTAGATACATGTATCGGCAATGCAAGCTGCCCAGCAAGTTCCTCTTCATACCTTATCAGGAGTATTTCTGTATACAAATGAGAAGCTAATAAGGAGCTTCGTTTTAAAAATACGCAAACATAAATTTTCCAAAGACCGAGCTTAAAACCCATTTTTTTCTCTTAAAAAAACATTTTATCCCTAGAAACATAAAATTAATAATAATGATGTACCAAGAAATGATTTTAGGCGGAGAAGAACAGGCATTTCAAAGGCACTTTATTTATTAGTATACTTTTGCTCCGTCAAAGTCGACATCATTCTTGATGAAGGTTTCGCACTGAAATTAGTATTTTTATCCAGACGCGGGGTAACATAGATACTGTGAAAACAACTGGATGGCACGTTTTTTCCAATTATTTTATTCAATATTAAAGATATCGCAGACGGACCTCATTATATGGCATAAACTACTGATTTGTGACTGAATTTTGAAAGTGACAAATTAAAAATGCTAAAACAACTATACAACACATATCACCAGTTTGTATTTTGCCGCGTATGATGAGTTTAATTAAAGCATAAGACCTGTATATTTTGTCTCCGTGGAGTTTAATTAAGTCACGCGTAACATTGGACCCATATCGTATTTTTGTCGTGTTTGGATAGTTTAATTAAATCGTAATATTTCGTCTGTGGGGAGCTTAATTAAGTTAATTTGTTTTGTCATGTGTCACACTGGACCTATATCATACACGACGTAATTTGTATATGCATCTGTGATGTGTAAAAGTTTACTATAAATCACGTGTCCTTGTTTTCATCACTGGAGTTACATTAGCGTGTATGTTAACTCCAATTATCTGTCTAGATATTATGTGACTTCTATGACACCTTACTCGATGGTTAGACCTACACCTCGCAGTTAGCTGGACAATAGGATAATTGAACAAACTAATGGATAATCCCATATTAATAGTGGTGAAATAAATTTTGTTTCAGAGAAATATATGGATTGTACAAAATTGTCAACAGAATACATACGTTCAGAAATTTCCTGTTCTACAAGAGATAATGCATAATAATTATGGGAATATTTCTTGATTTCCGGAACTCTTTCAAGCAAGTCATCCATGGTAAAGATTCGAAGCGATGTTTTCTTAAAATGTGCGACAATGGACTGTAAAAAAACACACCATATACTGTTTATATAGACTTTCTGGGTCGTTACCTTAAATAATCTCTTTCGTGACAAATATACTATATATACAAGCCAACAATTTGTATTTCTAAACGCATGGGAAATCTACTCAACATGCGCTAACCACCATGTATCAACTAAGTACGAACTAGTATGAACAAAATGTCGGATTTAATGATGTAACCGGACAAAAAAAAAATAACAACGCAAAACGAAACCGATGTATGATTTATTTATATGAGTATCAATCATCGTAGACATGCCTACTAAGTTTAAGTTGTACATTCATTAGACAACATGGTATTTACATCACATCCTGTTCGCTATGTGTTCCATGCTACGTATACAACATGGATTGCAAGCAGCGAGACTTCGGTGATTAATAAGCAAAAATTCATACTTAACCTTCATTTGAACTTTCTATTTGAACTTTCTATTGTGGATATTCTTTTATGATACTTATTTGTAGATTCATTGTATGCGAA